TCCAGACTGAGAAAATGGAAGCCGTTCACTTCAAAATTACTCTATTGAACAGTTTTGACATTTCCAGCAGTGTTTCCTACCCCCCACCCAAACCCATTCAATGCTCTCACCCTATCTCACAGTTTGCATTTTGCAATTCACTGAAAAACATATCCCACACAGTACAGTCTTTTTTTTTTTTGTGGGTGAGTGAAGTGAAGTGCCCTCCTGTCTCATTGTCGACACTGCTTGCACTGTCTGAGCACACAGAACTGGCCCAAAGTACAGCTCCTGCTTGCTAACACAAAGATGGTATGCAAAGAGTCTATTTCTGGCCTTCCTCTTGGCACTAAACTTGTAGCAGGCCAATCATAGCTTTTCTATCCAAAGAGCTTCTCTCCTAGGCTTTTCTTTCCAGATGTCCTTTACCCATGACTTAACAGGAGGAACATCACTGAGTTCTCTATTAAAAGCCCATTTCTGGGAAAAGGAGCTCTCTTACAGAGGGACCACAGCATGAGAAGCAGGTAATGCTTGACTACTTCTCTCTACAGACAGTGGTTTTGTCTAACAGGGAATAAATAATGGGGATTTCCCAGATTCCCTTCCAGTGCCATTACAAGAACATGTCATCTTGACAGGTGTGCTAGAGAAAAGCTTTCATGGTATCTTGCTAAAATAAAGCCAAAGAGTCAACAATTTAAAAAAAAAAAAAACAAACCACAAATATCTCGTGTGTACTTCTGGCATCCACAGACCAGCTCAATTGTGATAATGACTGGAACAGTAAAAGCCATCAATCACAAAGGTTTGACACAGCACACAGAAACTGGGCAGTTCACAGCTTTTTCCTGCTCTGTTGGGTGTAATGAGAGCCAGATGCTTGGTGTGGAGCTCCCCAGGGGTGCTCTGAGTGCCAGGCAGAGGGGAGGAGAGAAAGATAGATTGGGAAAAGAAATAGAAAGCTGAGGGCAGGCAGAGAGCGGAGCAGAGAGGAAGCAGAGAGCACAGCAGGAAAGGACACAGTGCAAGGGAGGAAAAGTGCCACAGAAAGAGCAAGAAGGTGGCAGAAAAACTACAAAGAGCTATTTCCAGCTCTTCTGGCTGAGGTGTGATGGAGCCAGCTAGTTCTCTTGCTTTCTACAACCTCTGACAGACCCTCCTTCCACTGCAAGGACACCACGGCCCAGCACATGAAATAGCTTAAACAGCAAGCATGATGCTCCCAAAATAAGTCATATCAGTTGCCTATAGCACACATTGCCTGTCCATAGCAGAAACAGAGCAAAGCCAGGAGCAGCACGAGACTCTCCACGCTGCCTCCAGGCAAGCTCCTCAGCCCTCCTGAGGTAGTAAGAAAAGAGTTTGTGTCTCCCACCTGGTTTGAAATCCTTTGCATGCACTGCAGAAAGCATTTCCCACCCCAAAATTTGACACCTTCTGTAAGACAAAGCCATAAATGAATGCAAAAGACAAATATAGAAGGAGAGTGAGGTTGCTGTGATTGTGGAGCACAGGTACACACACTTCCAGTTCCTGCTGTTCTGGTCCAAGGATTAACCATCCCCAGCCCAGAGCCACCAGCTCGGCCCTGCTCTCCTCAGCTCAGCCCACTCAGCCCCTTCATCCCTTCAGTCCAAGCAGAGAGGGATTTTCTTTCCACTTTCAGTACTAGGTCTTTGTGTGTGCAGTGAAGTCAAACTATCTGTTAGCGTGTGAGCTGTGCCAATCTGCTTCACCAGCCTTCCCAGTAGGTGGGAATGATTTTTGGTCCCCTCTGGCCAGGAGCAGGCTTAGAACAGTGAGGAACTGAGTTTTAGAAAAACACTGTTTCCCCTTCAAAAAGCACAGCAGGCAGGCAGGGTCTACTACGTCTTCCATGCTGTGCTGCACTAGCAACCCCACTAGTTTGCCTTACCATTTCTGCCACTGACAACAAAAATGGTATATCCAGTGTATTTAAATACATCCTTAGCAACAAAAAATATAAGTTCATTTTTCAGGTCAGAATTAAGTTTTATTGCTTTATCTTTAAAAACAAATATTTTTAATTTTTTTTTCAAATTCCAATAAACCTTTGACTCTTTCATCAGACCTTAATGCCTAATAATAAAGAGCCCCTGCAGTTGATGGCATTAGATTTATTCATACACTCACTAGCAGTAACTTATGACTAACCCTGATGAACAACAGATGGGAAAATCAAAAAAACTGGTAGGTTTGAAAAGTTTTTTGGAGACTATGGTTGCTACAGAGTGATCTGCACAAGAGGGAAAACTTACCCCCCGACATGGTGGGAACATAGTCCGAGTGCACCGTCATTCTTAATGTCTGATATATATGCAATTCTCTGCAAAGGCACAATGTTCCTCCCATTAACTTATAAAAGGAGCTGGCAAGGATTCTACTGTCATTTTTAAAACATTATGTTCTATACTCAAAGTTGAATGTCACCTTCTACGTAACTGTTTTATTCTATGCTCAGAGCTGTCAGCCAGGCTCAGATAGTCCAATGCCAATTTGAAGAAACCTCAAAAGATACAGTTGGGTTTTTTCTTCACATAAACAGAAGGACATTGTGTAAATATATGTTCACATATTTTCCACTAAAAAAACCCTAACATCTAGTGCAAGTCAGCCTTGGCTTCTGCTATAGAGAATACTAAATTGAAAATGACTATAAATCCAGGTATAGAGATTCCAAACTTTCTTACTTTCCTAACATCCCTATGTAGATCTCTTGGAAAAATGGTATTTATGGTTTAGAGTAGTAGCTCATGTTATCTCACCATGTAGCTAGCAAGCATCACAGCTCAAAGTATATCCACGGCACAAAAATGCCGAGCATTTTTCTGATCATTTTAAAGATCTACATGCTATGGCTGGGATTTCAAACGTCTGGGTGGAAGCTGGGCACGCAGCCCCTATGCACGGTGCAGATTGCAATTTTTTGTCTTTTGATAGCGTGACATTTTTAGGCTTTGCAATGATATGCTTGTTAAAACCCCCAAACATACGCCTTGGTCAGTGAGTCCTCCAGAGATTTATTCACATACTCAGCTTTGTGTATTGACGTCAGTGGGACTTCGAGCGGGAAGAACTAGATGACCTCTGAACGTGGCTTCCCCTCCTGTTTTTCACTGATTCACCATCTGAAAAGGTCAGCATTGCCTAAAGGTCCTCAAAGCCTGATCCCACCTCATCTGAAGTCAGAGACAGCTGGCGCAGAAATTGCAGCCCCAGAGAGTTAGCTTCCTGTTTGTACTGTGCTGCTGACCCATGTGTCTTGGGAAGTCTTGGAGAAAACACACACTGAAAGGACTTTCTGGGCATTCAAAGTCCAGCTGCCTTTTCTGGTTGCTTTTTTGGAGTTGCTGAAGAGACACAGTATGTTTGACTGTGCAGAGGGTTTCAGTTCTGCAATGTGCTATAAATGTTTTGTACTCTTCATTAGGTCATGTATTTTAAACATATATGCATCATGGAAATCCAATAAAAAGTATCTTAATGATTGTTCATATACAAAAACTTTGAGGATAAGAGGAGGCTTGGGGAGGAGAGGGTTAGGGCAGTTTAAAAAGAGGACAGTAAACTCTATGTCCCATGCAAATATGCCAAATGCAGTCTATAGCAACAAAAAAATCCCTTCAAGTGGCAAACTAGAGAGATTCATAGAGTTTAACATGGCTTTCCCTTTTGCAATCAGGCACGTTTTCTTCAAGTCACAACAGAAAATGCAACTTAATGTGTTGCTGATGAATCATTGTTGTTATAAAGATACAGGTATTCCCCTGAGGCTTTGGTAGTGTCTCCTGGGGAGCAGAGGATGAACTGGCTCTGCAGATGGCAAAGTCCTTGGGGGAAGGATTGTCAAAATGAAAGCCTGGCACTTCCAGCATGCCCTTTCTCTCATGGCAGCAGCAGAGGATATGGTGCTTCTCTGTCAAAATGAGAGCCTGGCACTTCCAGCATGCCCTTCCTGTCATGGCAGCAGCAGAGGATATGGTGCTTCTTGCTGGTAAGCCCTTATAACAGAGCAGCAGTTCAACCAAATCCTCCCTAACCAGTAGACGCAACCATTTCAAAATCCCCGTCTCCAACATCCTTTCTCCTAACCAGTAGACGCAATTTCAAAATCCCCGTCTCCAACATCCTTTCATTTTCTCTTCCTTCCTCTTCCAAGGGAGAAAAATGAAGCCCAAGAACCAAGGAAAAAAGAGCTGTGCCTATTCTTGCTTTGCAGCATTGTCATTGTAAGCCAAATTCAAGAATTCTAATAGGTTTGGGATCTTCACTCAGGGTAGTTTTCACAAGTTTCAGTGGTTTGCACCAGCAGAGATTCTTGCCCCTTATGGTATTTCTGGGTGAGGTCTTCACCCTTCTAATTGCAAGGTCCTATAGAGGAAACCGCGAGTCATAAATAATGTCCCAGGGCAAGTTCTAAAATTACACCAAAAGGTAAACAGTAGTTACCTACTATCTTGAACTAACCAAACTATTTTGATGTCATTCATGTGGAACAATGTCAGAACCTACATGTTCATCTCAAAGTAAGGAACAAAATCACCTATACCTCCCAGAAAATGCAACATATGTGGTCATTCAACACCACTTCTTGGAAAACAGGCATTTCAGTTAGCATTTACCTTTTCAGTTGCTTTAACAATTAAACCAGCATGAGCTTGTCCTTTTGAAACTCTACACTGAACTATTTCTAGAAAGGGTAATAAAACTTTACCTCTCAATATGTTTAGTGTATTCTCTTGAAAATGGAGTAAACGGATGTTACAAAATGCAGAGAGGCTTTGTCTGACATAATGCACAATGAGAACACAGCACAACATACTGAAGTCGGCATGGCAAGGGTCATACAGCATTTATAGCATGTCCCATCAAAGAGTATGAGAAAAGACAGTAAAACAGTCTAGAAAATGGGGTAGCAGAAGGGCTTTTTAGATAAAGTCACATTCATAAATCCAGTATGACAATAGCAGTGTTTAGAGGGCTTCATGCAAGCAATTCTAGAGGTCTGTAAGTGTATGATGCACAGGTACTGCTTCCAAGGTGATTTCCAAGGTATCAGACTCTGTGCTTTTTTCTCCCTGCACAACCACCTTTACTGACTTCTTATTGGCCACTTTTGCTTGGAGGTTGCTCTCCGAGGACACAGTTTCTTGAGGAGGGCATTCCATACCGCTTAGCCTCTCCTGGCAGCATTTTGGATAGCTTTGAAAGCATTTGAAAGTATCACTGTGCTTTTCACGAGGGAAAAAAGAACATTCTTCCACAATTGGCAGAGAATTACAGCTGGATTCATTTCTGCCCTTAAATGTTCTCAGGCTCGTGTTCAAAGTTGATCTGTAGTTCTGCGGTGCCTTGACACAAAAACAACTGATACAGAACTGATGAAAAAATGTGAAATCTTTGGCGATGGTGTTTCGGAAACTGGGCTTCAGGAGGAGGTAGATAACTGGATTGTAGAGTGTGGAGGACTTTGCAAAGACAGCTGGCACAGCAAAGGCTAACGGAGGAATCTTATCTATTGATCCAAAAGCTGCCCACATGGCAATGATGGCATAAGGGCTCCAGGCAGCAAAAAATCCAATGCACACAGCAATACTCAGCTTGCAGAGAAAAAGAGAAAACACTGAGTTAAAAAAATGCATGAGAAAAATAGCCGCCAAAATATGCATAAAAATACCACCTGAATGAACCCCCTTGTTAAAAGTCTCCCCAAGTCTTCCATCCTACCTCAACTGCTCTCCAAATGCATGTTTTTCTAGCAACTTAACTCTATCAGAAACTTAGGTCTACCTGAACCTTTCAGAGTTAAAATGTATCAGCTCCTACACTTCTTCTCTTCCTCTTCATTAAAGTGCCATGAAAACTCTTTTTCACAGCAAAAAGGAAGCCAACCTAAAGAAAAAGATAACATTCTGGGAAAATGCTTGTCTGGACTTCAAAGCTATTTCTATCTATTGTCTAATTAATTAATAATACTAGTTTTCCTGACTACAGAATGTCTTCCATAATTTTACTGTGGCTCAACTGGAGCCACTCACAGGCATCTGACAGCAGAAAGATGGACTAATTCTGAAGGTGAATAAAATTAATAAATTTAAGTTAACTCCTACTGCGCAATTGTTTGTCGCAATAAACTCTATAAGGAAATCTTTGATGGGCCTTTTTAAAAAACAAACACACAAAACCAAAGCCAAAAATATCCCAAACATTAAACAAAACCAACAGGTTTCAGGAATCTAAAGTAAACAGTAAGAATCAGCGTGTATAGGAAAACTAACCTGCTGGGCATCATTCTAACCACTGTAATAATAACTGAAGTGCATATATATTTTAGAGACAGAAACAAGAATAATCACACTCTTGAAGAAGCTTCATAGGTCCATTCCTGCCAAAAGTACATACTTCGAAATAAGGAAGCTCAGTTTAGAGCAGTATTGGATCCAAGGGACAGAAGAAAATACATTAGGAAAGTACTTTTGTTTTCAGCTGCTGATGGTGGCACCTGCCTGAGCTGCCCTCTGCAAGCGGGAGTGCAGAGCTGCTAACTAGCTCAGTTAACTGCAAATCCACCACTTTTCTCAGGGACGCTCTGGCTATAGATTCAAGGTTGCAAAAATCATGGGGTGTTTTATTAAAAGAGATGACATTGTTGTGTTCAGAGTGAGAGTGTAAGAGGCCCTGAGCGCTAACATCAGAAGAACATACATCAGGCTCTTTTAAGGCATAGAGAGGTCCTCCAGATGCTATTATTTTCTCCTTAAGCTTAATAGTCTCACAAATTTTATTTTGCAAGAAGAAATGCATGGTGACTGCCAAGAAATATATACCACAAGTTTTATGAGGAATGTCTGTGGCATTTAACTGTTTTTTCTATTAGGCTAAAATTTGTTTATGAGTTTGCGTGTGTCTCTAGAAAGCCATACACTACAGTAATAGCGACACAGGAGAAATTTCCCATTTATGGGTGATAACCATTTAAAGCTCCAACTTGTCAGAACTCGCATGAAATCCAAAGTTAAAGTCATTTGACAGAATTGAGAAACAAGGTATTTTGATAGAATGAGACTAGTTAAGAAATGATGAAGAGGCAAATCCACAAGAAATCAATTTGTGAGCGAGCATTCCTTTTTTCCTGCTGGATCATATTTCAACTTCACTCATCATTTTCAAAAAACTTTCTTAATTCAGTGCACAATACAGTGGTCAAAGGTTACTTAAAAATATAGGTAGTGGGATAGAAGCAAGGTGATGTCACTTCTGTTATTCAAGCTTCAATAACTAACTAGAATTCTGTCAATATGTCAGAAAATCAACCTTTACTTTTGCCCCAGGTAGGTTATTTCCAATGATGAGTTGCTTTTGCCCCAGAAACTGTTGTTCAGAATAACTGATCTGTACATTCTTTTATTTCATTTCATTACCTCACAAAGGCCACATATCAACTAACTACATCAACAATAATTGTTTATAAGGGAATATGACTTTCACACTATGGGATGGGTCAATCACCCCATTTCACTCATCACTCAATCACCTTTATTCTATGCTTGGTGGAGAGATGTCAGTTCTGGCCTCGGATTTCCTCCCGTGAAGGTGATACCACCTGTGGCAACAGTCACCTGTACATCACTGCACAATGAGACCCAGGGAGGACCAGGTCAAGCCTTTTCATAATTTCACTCTAGACTTGAGCCCACTTCTATCATTAAAGAGACATAGTGCCTAATTTTAGCCTTAGCCTATAATACACAGCTGGTAAAATTGCAGTAACAACAAACCAAGCCTGTAGGAAAGAAAACCAGCATAAAGTTCTGTGGCAGATTAGTGTGATGTAGAAAAATAGGTGCAGGTCTCATATAAAAACCTAAAAAAATTTAGTTGTGATGGAAACTATTCCAGAAGGCACTAAGTAACTCATTATAGTTTGTAGCAAATACAATCAAAGGTTTACAATCCAAAACTGCTTAGTGTTAATAGGAAGATGATTTTGATGAACTATAATGGACTCTCTGTAATGTCTTTATTTTATTATGGAAATAGAGAGAAAAACAGCTTCAGATCTAAAAGTTATCTTTTCATAACTGCACATATCCACAGAAACTTCTAACACATTTTCTTTTCAAAGTGACCATCAAATGGGTTCACAGTTTTCTGGGTTGCACTCCTACAGCATCTAATAATACCAGCTCCTTTGCATTCTAGTGACATCTGTTTCCTCAACAAAATAATTTTCATGGACTCTAAAACTCAAGGAAACAAATATGTACTTTACACCTGTGATACTGAACTGCTCTAAGAATTCAACACTGGTTTACATCAACCAGGATTTCAAATAACAAGTTAAAATTTCAATAAGGTAAAAAATTATGTGTTAAGGAGTAATTTCTGATCATTTTCTTACCTTGTCATAGCCCAAGATGGAGTTGTAACTGCGAACTTCTAATAGATGCCATGCTTAGATAACAGTATAATAATTACATAGCAGGCTTGTTTTTTTAATTATAACATATATAAATACTGAATTAACTATGTATCTTTCATGTAGTGTGTGAGTTCAGCAAGATTTAAAGGAGACCATATAGATGCTTTGTATCATTCAGTCCTTAGCACCTACAGCTCAGCATGTATGTCACTGTTTTAGCACCTGCCTACAGTTTCAGATTCAACAGCTGACAACATTACTTCACTGGAATAATCAAGTGAGCTCAGAATAGAAAGTTAGAAGTACATTTTCTGCTTCTTATGAAATATATTGCAAAAAGGTTTTGAATAGGAAGACTTGAGAATTAATGAATTAGAAGAATCGGGCCTTCCTGAGATGATGTCATTTAAATCAAGTGGACTGCATGTTGTCCTTCCTCTGAATCATATATTGTTCATCATTTATCTCTTCTGTAGAACCTTTTGCAGCCAGATTCATTCTTCTCTGCAAAACAGAAAAGAATATTTGCAGCAAGGGCTTAACTTCTCTCAATTTATTTATGGGATATGCTTATTGCAGCACACTCAAAGGATTCTCAGTTCCCAGAGGCTGCAAAGAAGGAGAAATGGGGTCTCAGAAAGTAATTAGATAAGGCTATGACAAAGCCAATAAAATGATACTTTCTTCTTTCCTTTCACTTTTTAAGGAATTGCTATGGGTGAGGTTATTCTGCTGAGAATAGAAAGTTTTTCCTACAAATTGTTTCTGACAGGCTAAATGCAACCATTTTTAAAATCTGTGAGACTTAGTCCAAATGCATGCTTACAAGCAGCAAATTAATTCCACTGATTTTTTATGCCTCAAGGGACTATTACAACCTCTACTTTGTTTTTCTGCAAAATAATAAGCCAGTGAGCCAATGCATTGCTAAAATAGAGGAAGAAGTAAAAGAAATTAGAAATTCACAGGCTAAGCTTTGAGAACTCATGTAATTAATTTCTCTCCTCCTTTCATTCAACAAAGCACAAAACAAAAGAGTAAAAAAAGTAAAAACAGTAAACTACTGTTACAGTACTATAGTTCAGAAAAAAACACCTGATTCATATTGGTGTCTGCTCTAAGACAAGTCAATGGGCCTCTTTCCAATGATTACTCTGCTCTCAAGACCTTGGAACAGACCTTTGGCAGCATTTTTTAAGCAGTCTGTCATTATTTTGTTCACTTATTCTTTTGCACAGACTTCCAATTTTGAGACCAGGATGTCATGGGGGACAGTGTCGTCCAGGTAGATGACATCTATTCCTCTGCCCTTGTCTACCAATGCTGTGGCAATATCGTAAAAGGCCACCAAATTTGTCAGGCATGATTTGCCCTTGGTGAAACCATGTTGGTTGTCACCTCCTTATTTTCCACGTGCCATAGCAGAGATTCCAGGAGAATCTGCTCCATGATCTTGCCAGGCACAGAGGTGAGACTGAATGGCCTGTAATTCTCTGGGTCTTCCTTTTTTCCCTTTTTGAAAATGGGGGCTATGTTTGTCCTTTTCCAGTCAGTGGGAAGTTCACCAAATGGCCATGACTTCTCAAGTATAATAATACATTCCAAGTACACCACAAAATTGACATGTTCAGGGTGGACTATTTAAGCAGAGTTTCTTAAGGAAAAGCAAAAAACATCTCTTCTTTCTGCTTGTATGAGTTTGCCTTATACCATCCTCTTAGCAGATGTCTCCAAGGGACTAACATGTATAATTATTTGTTGTCTGTATTATTATTATTATAGGGTGAGATTCTCTGCAGATGATAAGTAGTTTCAGAGTAACTCAGAGTTTACAGTCTAATAGTGAACATCAGAGCAATTTTGAGGGGAAAAAATCTGGGAATAAACAGAAGAAATACTTGTCAGTACATGATAAGCAGTTTTCTTAGTGTTCCAGCAGCCCAACCAATATCAACCTGTATGATATACCAGCATGACCTTTTGTGTTAGCATCACAAAAGAAGTTTCAAAGGAGATATTGTTTTCATTTTGCCAGCTTTTATTAGGAAGAACTCATAAGAATGACAAGTAGCCCTGAACTTGCATATGCATTTCTGAGTGTTGTGAGCATACAGTATAATCAGCTTCTTGGTCTCACTGAACAAGAATACACAAGTCAATTAGGATAAGCTATGAAGAGTTTTAAAAGTTAATTAAAGAGCAAAGGATAGTATCCTGGAGTCAAATGGAAGACTTAAGAAAGTCTACTGAATATCCAGGAGCAGGGCAGGAATACACGTAAGAGCTTTAGTTGGGAAATGTTCTATCTAAGAGATATTAAAAAGAAGGAATAGGTAAGATGTGGACATAACTCTTTAGTTCTTAAACTGCTTGGATTGAGGAAGATACTTAGGTTACAAGACCATGCAGTAGACAGGAGGATGGTGTTTTCCACAGTGGTGAAAACCAAGATGCTCAAAGGGAGAGACAGGGCAGATTAAGATGTCTAGTGCAGCTACACTGCACTTGGTAATCTGAAGAGAAATGTCAGAGAAAGACCAAGTTTATTAGCATGAGAATGAGAAAGCAGATCATCTATACAGAATTCTCATCTATACAGAAACAGATCTGTGAGATACCCAATTATATTTGCAAATGAGAGTTACCATATTCCTGAACAGAGAGAGAAGATAAGGACAAAAGATGACCCCAAGCAGAAAACTGAAGGGTGGTGAGGAAGATACTTAGAAGGAAATGTGAAACAAATAACTAGAGAAATGAGAGAAGGATTCATTGAAATCAAGAAAAAAACCTAAATATTTTCTCAACAGAGATAATTAAAAGAGTCAAGAAGTAACACTCGTATCTTTCAAGAGGTACATTACGTGAAGCACACCTAATGTCAGCTGCAAAGTTCCTCTTATCATTTTTTGGTCTATTAAAAAAATATATGCTGATATTGTCCTGGAAAGGACAGTTCAGTTATAAACAAGAGAGTTTGATCTCTATAATACTATTTAAAATCTTTAATGATAGGAAGCTTAACCCTGGATCTCCTCAGGTGTCTGCAGCTGGACAAACAGAATTCACTCACTTAAAACTAGACTGGCTTTCATAAACAATGGTTCAAGAGCATAAGACCCAAACTCACTTCTACATGGTGCTCTAATTTTTAACCTTCCTTTTGATCTAGACTGGCTTTAAGAAGCAATGGTTCAAGAGCATGAGACCCAAACCCACTTCTACACGGTGCTCTAATTTTTAACCTTCCTTTTGATCAAAAGTCTCAAATCTTAATTTTCACAAGTAATGAAGCTCTGTGCGCTTAATTACCACTTTCCAGAAACAACACAGCTACTGTTTGCATGTTTAGTAACTCATTGCCATGCAGTGACTCTGCACAAGACAATACTGTTGGGGTTGGAAAGGACCTCTGGAGATCATCTGGTCCAGAATATTGTCTGAAATGAAAATGCAGTAAGGACCAAGAATGTTGTCTGAAATGAAAATGCAGTAAGGACCAATTTTCTTTTCCATCTTTATTCCCTCCTCAAAAGTTTTCTTGGTCTTCAAATAGTGCTGCCCAGCTGTGCCAAAAACGGCTTGCCAAAGATGAACTTTCAAATACCTTGACAGTAATGGTTTGTGCGTTGGTCATCCTGGTTGGGCCAGAGATGTGCTGTTCCACTGCCTTCCTGGATTCTTTCACAGTTACCAGAATAAGAGAGTAGGAAGTGACAATTACTCCACAAGGGAGGATAAAACAGAAAACAAAGAGGACTATGGTGTAAGACATGGCCACAGCATTTTCGTTGGTGGAACGCCAGTCAATGCAGCAGGCTGTGCCATAGGGCTCTGCTCCGTATTCTCCCCAGTGAGCTAGGGGAGAACAGGCAAAAACTCCTGCGTAAGTCCAAGCACAGGCTATCAAGATTTGTCCATGTTCTCTCCTGAACCTGTTTCCTGGAAGACACAAAACAAGATCAGCATGGTTGCCGTGTCTGTATGTCTGATATGCAGGCAGCTGAGCAGGGTAATTAAGGTGGATAACTTTCATAGGTGTTCCAAATAATTAAAGCATATTGAAGGTTTGTAAGAATACGACATGGTTCATAACAATCAACAACAATAAAAAAAGGTAGCTGAATTCTCCAATACATTTAAGATACTTCACACAAAATAAATCTGTATGAAAAAATCTCTATCAAAATGCAGCAGTAAACTCTGAAAAATTAACTTATTAAGGCCAGCCTTGCTTTCAGATTGGAACTCTTATTCTATGTTTCCAAATTATCACCCTGATTTAAAAGAGCTTAAAAGTAATCAATTGCAAATATCTAGCTCTATCGTTAATTATCAATGATCACAGAAATAAGAATTGTTTGGCTGGATGTAAAAAAATCTCTTCTGTAAAAAAACTCATCTATAAAAACACACTCTAGGATATGCAACCCAGCAACAGTGGTCTATGTTCACATGAAAAATTGAGTAATTTAAGACAGAAACATTAGCTTACCATGAGCTGGAAAACAAATTTTGAGGCAGCACACAGTGCTCAGTAATGTCAGTGTTGAGAGACTGCAGATCCCAAACAGCACCCCACAAAATGCATAGAACAAGCAAATCTGTTTCCCATACAGCCAGCTGGCAAATAACCAAGAAAGTTAATTCTTAGATGCTATCCTTCTTTTTTAAATGTAATACAAAGTGGTAGAAATATATTTACAGTTGTATCCTTAAAAATTCAATAAAACTCTATGATTAAATTATTTGTTGGTCAATGATCAACTACAAAAGATACTCTTATTTGAAAAACTTAGAGCCAGTAAAGTAAACATATCCTGCTTTGTTTTTATGATAGACATTTGAGTCTTTTTATAAAACAAAGCACTGTATCTTAATGATAACAACTCTGAAAAGAAAAATCAGAATGCTTGGCACTAGTAGGCCTAGGTCATAAAATAATATAACTTATTGTTATTTCTGCTATCTTTAAGTATATTTTTAAATCAACATTATCAAAATCAATACATTCTCTTGTGAATGTTCTCCAGAATAGATATTTGATCTGAATCACTATACCTCCTCCCTTTTTATTCAGACACTGACACTATTTGCAGCAGCAGTTATCAAAAGGACTATTCTAGATTTTGAAGACATCATCTCTATTAGTCAATATATTTATCAATATTTTAACACAGAAAGCAATGTGGTAAAGACTGAGTAACGACTTGATGTTTTTATCTTATTTTTCTTTTTGATGCCAAAATGAGAGAAAACTAGATGGGAGGACAGAGAGATTTTTTTCACATCAAATCAAATACTTTTTTTTTATTATTATTATTATTTTGGTTAACTGAAGAGAAAAAATTACCCAAGGGTTATGTTAGGTGAGGTATTCTCTGTCTCTTTTGCTAAATATATTCCACTTAATTATGTTACTAAACACACCTTCCTAGGTTTCTCAGTAAAGTCTTTTGGGAAGCCAAATCAGCACTGCATATTCACATCTGTAGAGTTGCAGGACGTTCTGCAACTGGGATAGGCCAAAATGTTACAAATACCATCCTATAGTATCCCAAACCATGGAGAACAGCAAAACAACCAGTTCTGATCTTCCTTCATGTTTTCTATCTAGTTCCCTTCTCTCAAACACTTTCATACCACTTGGGTTGTACAAATACTGTCTGAGGTCTAATAATGAGTCTTCTAAGCCTCCCAAACTTTAAAAGAGCACCACAAAAAATAGATCTTGCACAATGACATAAGATTGAAGTCATGTGGGTAAAGAGAAGTGGAGAAGGAAGGAAAAAGTTCTAAGTTCAGAGTGTTGGCCTAAAAATTAACTCAGAACATTACATTTCTACGCCTCATCACTACCACTGACTACTTATGGAGATCACAAGTAAATTCAGGGTTTTCTTTTAATGGTAGCAAATTTCACTGTCCAACTGAAAAAATAAAGAAGCATTTCAGTGTCACTTGAATAATACTACTCACGAAGAACAAAAGCAGCAGGAAGTGGGGAAAAAAAAATCTTCTCAGCCCTGCAGAAATCAGGAAGACTGTGACCTCAAATAAACATGAATATTAATTAACACCAGCAGCCTATAAAGCTGCTGTTACAGAGCATACTTCCCTCAATCCCTCTAATTAAGTCTCACTTTCATGGCAAGAAAAGTGGCAGAGTAACTCAGCCTTCATCAGACCTCCAGAGCCTGTGGAGGATGTTAAATATCACGTGCATAGTGAACAAACCTGTGTGAAAGGCTGGAGGTTACAGCTAGAGGGTACAATGTCAGAGTCATACCAAGGTCACTGACGGCAAGGTTAATAATGAAGTATTCTGCTGGTTTCAAAAAATTCTTTTTCTTGTAGGAGACATATAGGAGAATACTGTTCCCACACAAGGAGAATATTCCTGCAGAGAAACACACGATATGAAGAGAAAGTTACTTTCCGCCTTCCCTTTCTTTAACTGCACAGGAATAAGGTGCTGTCATCATAGCTAGCATTTATCAGATAAACTTGTTGCTTTTTAGTATTTGTGTTTTTCTCTTCTTTATATTTCAATTTTTTAAAAAGGTTTTTTATCATTCTTCCTGGTTTCTTCCTGTTTTGTCCATCAAACTATCTACAAAGATCTAATGGATAATTTTATCCATTAAATTAGGCCAGTTAGACCTGCAAAAAAAAAAAAAAAAACATTTCCCCTGGAGGAAGCAGGAATTAAGAAAGCCAGAGCCAATATCCATCCAGCACTGCACACATTTTCCCAGCTCCATGTCTAGAGCTCTCCATTCACCAACCCTTCCTCCTTTCTCTTTGGGAAATTTTCAAAGAGGTACCTGTTACAGATCCTAGTGATAATAGGCAATATAGCAAGAATGTTGAATTATCCATGAAAGAGAAGAATGTAGTTAAGTCATGTCTCTACTATGTGTAGATAGAACTATTTTCTTTGGGAATGCTGTTTTTACTATGAGACCTGCCAAGAAACTTAAGGTGGCTGCAAATAGTTTAGCAGAAAACAAGCAGAAAATTGGAAGTTTCACTTTCCTGTTTAGAATTAACAATGATCATGTTAATGCCAAGACCTGCCAGGGCTTCAAATCCCAGCACTTCTATTCATTTTATATTCGTAATGGTGAATAAAGTTTTTGTACCTAACATAAATCACAGGTTAAAAGCCTTTTAATTATTTTACTCTATGCTTTTTTTCCCTTTTTTATGAATATAGAGAAGTTAATCTGTGTCAGAAAGAAACGACTTTTACAGTCAAGTCTCCTTACCACATTAAATTCGGCCAAATCTCTATAAACACACATAACATGAAATCATACTTACCAAATACCATATAACATATTCCAACAACAATATCAGCTGATTCTGTTATTTTGGACTGGAATGTCAAGTTCCCAAAAGATGGGCCCATCTGAAAAACAAACCAGGGCATGGTATTAGAAATTCAGTATCCAAAGAGATACCATGTGAGCTCTCTGCAAGGCTATAGGCTGTTTTGTGGGGAAAGAACAGGGAGAATTTTATTTTATTTTATTTTCTGAATTAACAATTAATTTGCTTGAATGGAGGAGCCAGGCTCTTTTCAGTGGTGCCCAGAGCTCAGACAACAGGCAATGGGCACAAACTGAACACAGGAGGTTCCCTCTGAACATTAGGAAAGTTTCTCATTGTGAGGGTGACTGGCAAAGGTTGCCCTGGGAGGTTGTGGAGTCTCTATGCTTGGAGATATTTTAAAAAATGACATGGTCCTGGGCAACTGGCTCCAGGTGGCTCTGCTTGAGGAGGGGGGTTGGACCAGAAGACCTCCAGAAGTCCCTTTCAACCTCAACCATACTGTGATTCTGTGTAATTTACAGATGAAATCACAGCCTAGAACTGATGCAGAGGTAAAGCAATTTCTACTAATTGGAGAGACTTATCTAAATATAGGAATGTCACAACATTAAAAATGCAATTGCTGAACAAGTGTGCATTAAATTTTGGAAACTTGACTTGGCTCAATAAGGCTTGTTCCAGAGTATTACTTATCATCGTTTTACAACAACCAGAGGAACTAAGATAGGAAATCTTAAAATCATAGAATTGTCTAGGTTGGAAGGGACCTTTAAGATCATCTAGTCCAACTATCAAAGGATAACAATGACTACAGAACTGTAAATATAAACCTAAAACAAAAAAAAAAAAACAAAATCTACACACTTCCAAAAAAACACAAACAAACAACCACCAACAACAGAAAAAAGAGAAATGAAGGAAGAGCATCAGAATAACTAGTAAGTACAGACAAGATATATGTGTATGTATGCACTAATCTGAAACTTATTTGTACCACTTAAGTTGTAACTTTATGTAGAGGTGAGCCAAATACATTCTCTCTTTCTTCCACAGGCATTCCCATTTTATTTCCCATCCCTGCCCTCCACCTTTCTGAATCTGTCTCATTGAATGTATTTGTAGAATTGTATCTGTAGAAATTTGTGCTTCTCCAGCCCAGAAATTAGCAAAGCATATGGGAGAGTAAAGGGCTGAATATAAATGAGCAGCCCTTTCCTTAGTGTATAGCTCCTGTCAATTCTCTTAAACTGCAACAGACTGAACTCTCAGATTTCAGGACGTGGGTTATTAAATTTAAAAGAGTCTATACTTCAGGTATCCTGTGTGTCAACTCTGAACATGACTAGAAGGTGTCAGTATAAAATCTTCAGCAAGGAGACATACCGTATGACAAGTCAAGTCAATGGGATATTGCTCAGCAAAATCCTGTGTGAAGAGAGTGACACTAAGGGAAAAGAGCATCTGTCAACCGTCTTCATGTCGGTCTGAGAAACTGGCATAACCCAGAGAAATGCCACCGCTTACTGTCCTCTGCCATTTCTGCATTCAAGGCACCTACTATGGGATCAGCCCTGTTGATGGAGCTCAGACCTTACTCCCCAGGAGGATGAGTGCAGGATCAAAGTGGGGACGGTAACATCTGATAAAATTGCAATACACCTGCCAGAGCCAAACCCAGGTACGTAGACACTCTCATACAGGGTTTAACACATCACACAATTTAAGGGCAAAGACCTCAGCTGGAGCTGTCTTCTAGCACAGTTAGAAAGAAAAAAAGAAGTCTACCAAAGGCTAATCTTTTTTGCGCTTTTGTTTTTCCTCTTGTCACAGATGCTGTTGCTGTATTGTCTTAACCACCTTATTAGAAAGGTGATCTGCAGCTGTTCTTGGCAAACTGAATTTAAAAAGACAAAAACTCAGCAAAATTTTCCAGGTATATTCACAGACCTTTGCCTCAGGTAATGGTAAATACATTTCCATTTGCGGTCATTTCTCACTTTCCCTTTGCTTCCCTCTTTCTGTTATGGAACCAGTAGTCCCTAGAGCCCACTATACTCAGCTCCTCTCTGACATTCCAGCATCAGAGCTCGTGTAAAGCCAGTGTACCAGCTCCATGCTCTACCAAGAAATGTAAGAATAAGTGTTTCAGCCTTCTGTGTGTTATCAACACAAGAAAATAAAAACAGATAAGGGAAGTGATGATGAAGTAAAAATAACCCCATCCTTGGTAATAAAAAAGAAACAAACACCTCCATTAAACAACGTTTCAATGATCACCTGAACAGCCAGTTCTAATAGTTCTTATTTGTAGTGGTTGGAAATCTACATTCTTCTGAGCACTGTAAATACTTATTGATATTCTTTTACAGTATTTTTTTAAATAAAATTCTGCTTTCTCAGGACCAGTAAAGCCATTTTAGTCATGAATTTCCAAGCTGCTAAGTCTCCAGACCCCTGCCACCTAGCCAGTTTCCAAGCATCTACCTTTTTGCAGACCTTTGTAATAGTTTTAGAGTTAAGTACAGTGATTAATTTTGCACATCCATAGTCAACAGCTCTGAGAGGGTTACATAAAGAAGGGCTTTAAAAACAAACTATTTAATCAATTTATAATTTAAAAGCAAAAAAATCACTGTTACAAAGGTGGGTAAAGTCATCTCCAAATAGGAACTAGAATAGACAAGAACTGCACTCGACACTCTAAGGTGTTGTGTTGGCAAATAGCTACAAGTTTCACTGTTGGTTTGCTTTTTGGTTTTTCTGTGGTTTTTTTTGTCTGGGCTGATGAATTACATAATGATATTTTTAAAAAATACTTTAACAGTGTTTACCGGTAAAATATTTTATCTGAAAAATACTTTAACTGCATTTTTCTCACTCCTTCCCTCAACAGATAGAACAACTTGCTAACACACAAGAAATGCATCTGGACATCTACATTTAAATTATCAGTTTCAATATATTTGTTTAAAAGTCACACTCTCAGTTAAACTATTGTCATTGTGAATATATATCATAAATTTCTCATTTTCTCCCTTCAGATAGTCTTCTATTGATTTCAGCTCTTGCATCTTCCCCAAATAATATTTTCCCTAAGTATTCAATGTTTTGCTATTTCCCTGCACTGTATATATTAACTTAAAAAGGTACTTAGAAAATAGCCTTGTAGGAACAGTATGCAGCAGATGGAGAAGCAGGGTGGGAGGAGGTAAAACCAATAAATAAATACAGTCTAATAATTCAATATTAAATGTAAAGTATTTGTGATAACTGGTAGATACTATTTAATTTCAAATCAGGTTAGTGACATCAACATATGACTAAAAAGTAATTAGAAGTAGAAAAAATTCCAAACGGACTTTCAGTAATTATTATATTTTTATACCAAAGAAGTATTATATTTAGTCCTATATGAAGCCTTTTTTAAATGCATTCTGCATCTGCACTCTTTTTAAACACCTGTATCAATTAAATGTAATAATAAAGCCAAACTGCTATGCCTCAGTTTAAAAAGTATCCCAGAAAGTTTCCCTTTGTTAAGAATGGTTTAGTCTTCAATAATTATGACCCCAAAAAAGTAAGCCAACAGAAGATACACAGATCAACTCTGATGATTTCATAGTGCATGAAAGATTCCTGTAATAATAGCATCAGCATAAACACATCACATAGAGGCCTTTAAAATAAACATGGGAAGTCATATTACTAACTACTGTAAAAATGTATTACACCACAAACATTTGTTCACATATATGAACAAACATTTCTGTATACAGATTTTTACTCTCTCTTGTTCACTCCCATTGCCATTTCAGCACACAGTCATAAAGTGAGCTGGCTCTGCATGCATGGATGCACTGAGGTCCTATAATTGTTCAACTTCATGGAGAATTCTCTTGGAAATTAATTTGGGTTTCACTCTGGTTATAGAAAGTCATATTTCTGGAGCACAGGATTGAAATCATGCTCATCTCCAACATCATGTCACCCCACCTTCTATAAATAACAATTGCTGGAAGGACTAATTAGAAGTCAAAGAGTATTGTGTCTTGGGTGCAGTAGCTCATCCATGAATGCACAAGGGCTAGTTCTGCAAGAAAAAACAAGGATACATTTCAAAAATTCTGATATTACAAATCAATAAATTACCTTGAATTACTCCTTTTTCTTAAAATGTTGAATGCCAGATAACATGCTTCTATGCCCACCACATTAAAAGCATCCACGTGAATCAAATGCATTAAGATGAGAAAAATTGTACAAAGAGAATTACAACCTATGTGCTTCTGAATGGAGTGTGACAGGAGAAATCCCTAAACCCCAGTGTAGAACTTCTGCTCCTTTTACACCACACCACAGAAAGGGAGAACATCATGAAAGAGGGTACAATTTTAAGTAGATCTGTTAAATTTAGTAAATAAGAATAGAATAAAATAGAAAAAAAATAAAAACCAACCTGTTGTGAACATCACTATGACCAAAGTAATTATTTCTACATTTCCACCCCCAAAATTGAGATGAAAATCTTCCCACAAACTTTTTTATACTAAGAAGTTATCCCACATTCAGAGATATAAGAGACCTCATAAGAAACCTCTCATAAGAGACCTCTCAAAAGAGGTCACAGGAGGTCACACAAGACGATCACCTTCAAACTATTGGACTTCACAAAATTAAAGCAATCATCCAGGCTTGACCTAAAACACAAGGTCCAGCACAATCCTTAGGCAGTCACTCAAAGGGTTAGTTGGGGAAGGAGGAAATGATGTTTTGGTTTTGCCATTTATCTTGCCCCAATTTCCAATCACACCAACTCCCACATCAGCACAAAAAGACCAAAAATAAGTCACCCTTAACCTTTCCTTAACAGTTTAAATGTAACAAACTCCAGAGGTTTAGGACAGAGGTTGCTTTTGCTCCAACAAACTGACTTCACTGACCTCAGTAGAAGATGGGGCACTCCAGGTTTTTGCCTTTAACCTTCTACAGTAGACAAATCCGATGACTTGAGCTCTTCATTCAGCCTGAGAAAGCTTCTGCAGGGGAGAAATTAGCAGGTCTTATAGTTTGATTAGGTTAAACTGGCATCAGGTCATTAGAACTGGGAAGTCCACCAGCAGTCACTCTTGCCCAGCGCTGGAGCATCAGTCTCACTGGACTCATTCAGTGCATTAAAGCTGGACATCCCCATGGCCCCCTTAGCCCTGTTTAGCCTGCACAGCCTGGCCATTCATTTCTACCTCACTATAGTGCATTCAGACTAAAATCCTGATGTTCGAGGGGCGTAATGCCCAACCTTTCTGCCTGAGCAGGACACACAATTTCTGCTGGCAAGGTCGGCTGCCTGCCACGATATTACTGAATTCATATCGGAGCTGATGGCTCCCAAGGGGTCAAATTTAAATGGATGTACATAATATATTTCTCTGCTTTCCAGAAAAGTAGGTCTAATGCATATGGGATGTGCAGCTCGCACTCTCATTTTGTAGATGTAGCTCTTTCCACAGGATGAGGTAACTCTCAGCAAAGAAAATCATTATTGGTAGCACATCATTATTCATGCTATTAATTTATCGCATATACTAAAAGCTCTCAGATTCAACTACTATCATTCAGTCACCTTCTTAGTTAGAAAGCTGCATTTGTCCAAAGCAAAGCATAAACAGCATTCAGTATTCAATTCTGGGACAAGGTTAGTAAAATGGAATCAAAATTTGGTTATTGGGATGAGGGGGAAAAATCAAACAACTACTGTTCATATTCAGAACTTGGTTTGAGCTTTGACAATGATCAAACTATTCCCACCGAGTACCTTGGAACATTCCTGAGCAATGTAAATAACACAAGTATTAACTTTAAGTGCAGAATTTTTACAAAGAATATAATTGAAACCATACAGCTGCTTGAAAAAAAATTTGCATGCTTTAATTCCAATATTTCTGTAATTTTGTTTCTATCTGATGAATAGATTTATTTAACCCATCCATAAAGAGAAACTTAGAAATCGATAATGTTCCACTGAACTTTATAACATTCCCCGCACTCGTGACCAAGGACAGGTTTGTGAAAGCTGATCACAGGTTACAGTGGTGCAGGTGCAGAACAAAACCATGACAATTCCAGCAGTAACCTGCTAACTTCATCTCTCAGGAGGTCATAAAGAAGGCGATTTGTTATAATGCCATGTCCTCTGAGCTGAATCATCCTTCCGAAGTTTTAAAAACAAATTAGCAGTGTATAGAGCAGCAATGTTACTGCTTGCTAGAAAGAGAATAGCCGAATAACAAAGAATTGAAGGAGCAACACAGTATTGATTCTGGTCTGCAGGACAAAAGGTCTCATTAATCCTGATTAGGTCACAGGTATGCAGGGAACAACTGGGCCCAACAGAATTTATTTCATCTCCAGCTAGTGAAATACTTGTTATAATTCATACAAATACACACTGTTACTGTTACCATTTTTGTTTTGACCTAGCAAACCAGGCTATATTGGAGGAGAAACAAGAAGCAAAAGCTGATGAGAAAGGTGACTTCATTACAATGGACACAAAATGCTCCAGTTGACCTCAACACTTTCTTATTTTTTTGTAAAACACTAACAGTTTTCCTACTGTCCTGGTTAATAAATCAAAAAAGCCCCAGGAAAATACTTGAATGAAATATGTTTAATTTAATAGAACTTGATATATAGCTTTAAGATTTATTTATATTAATTTTTTTAATATTTGAAAACTGTAGGCTCTGTTTTATTGAAATTATTGAACAACTCAAAAATTTTCAGCTGTTTTTTTTCCATCACTGCAAAATTAACTGAAAAGCCTCTTATATACAGAGACCTTACCTCAGTGCTGTGATTCATGCAGTTTATCCATTACACTCCATATGGCTTTATACTCTGTAGATAACTAGACATTTGAAATTTGATTACTTGAAAAGTTTCTTCCCCCTGCAATGGATTGCTTTTCATTACTGTCATTGCTCTAGAGCAGGTGGAACAGTTGCCAATGTGTTTTCTGCAAGTGGTCCATGACTCTCAAATTCATTTCCCTATCAGTCTGCCAGCATCTCAACTGATTAGCTTCTTACCAAGGAGATGTAGAGATGCATTTTGATTGCATTCCTTTTCTTCCAGACATCTATGGACTAGAGTTGACCTCAACACTTTCTTATTTTTTTGTAAAACACTAACAGTTTTCCCACTGTCCTGGTTAATAAATCAAAAAAGCCCCAGGAAAATACTTGAATGAAATATGTTTAATTTAATAGAACTTGATATATAGCTTTAAGATTTATTTATATTATCTTTTTAAATATTTGAAAACTGTAGGCTCTGTTTTATTGAAATTATTGAACAACTCAAAAATTTTCAGCTGTTTTTTTTCCATCACTGCAAAATTAACTGAAAAGCCTCTTATATACAGAGACCTTACCTCAGTGCTGTGATTCATGCAGTTTATCCATTACACTCCATATGGCTTTATACTCTGTAGATAACTAGACATTTGAAATTTGATTACTTGAAAAGTTTCTTCCCCCTGCAATGGATTGCTTTTCATTACTGTCATTGCTCTAGAGCAGGTGGAACAGTTGCCAATGTGTTTTCTGCAAGTGGTTTTTTATACTCTGTAGATGACTAGACATTTGAAATTGGATTACTTGAAAAGTTTCTTCCCCCCTGCAAGAAGGGCTTGCAGTAGTAGTGGATTGCTGTTCATCACTGTCATTGCTCTAGAGCAGGTGAAACAGTTGCCAATGTGTTTTCTGCAAGTGGTCCATGACTCTCAAATTCATTTCCCTATCAGTCTGCCAGCATCTCAACTGATTAGCTTCTTACCAAGGAGATGTAGAGATGCATTTTGATTGCATTCCTTTTCTTCCAGACATCTATGGACTAGACAGGTTAAACATGATGAGGTGCTGCTCATTCCATCAAAGGAGCTAATGTGATCAATTACTTATTGTAATGATTGTAATGATGTAATGTACTAAGAAAAATTAAATTAAATTACAGACACTTCCATAATATTGCATAGTCATAAGTATAGTAAAAATACCCAGAATTATTGCTAGGCACTTTAACAATAAAATACAAAAAAACTTTCATTTGCTTATTAAGTGCAGCTATTCATGCTTGTTATGATAATGCAGCTAATTAGTCTGCATTTGCACAAGTAATTTTATTTATTTCAAGACAGGAGTTTGCATCATCTATATTTGAGATAAAAAGAATAATAGAACGGTTAGAGTTGGAAGGGACCTTAAAGATCATCGAGTTCCAACCCCCCTGCCCTGGGCAGGGACACCTCCCACCAGACCAGGTTGCTCAAAGCCCCATCCAGCCTGGCCTTGAACACCTCCAGGGATGGGGCAAGAAGGCTTTGTACAGAAAGAAAGCTTTGTACAGAAGCTATGGCTTAAGCATCATATACTCTCTATATCATATTATCTCATGTTAAAAGTAATAAATTGATAGAATGGTAAAAAGAAGCAGCTCTGGTCTTTCCATTTTCTCTTCTTCAGGTAAGACAACCCCTAAAGTCTAATTATTTCTCCCTTGCCTCATAATTTCTTCTCTTCATTATCTTTTTAGTTCTTGCAATCAATTTACAATGTAAAGTTTACTGGGGAAATTACATATTCCTGCTCTGAAAGTTATCAGTTTCAAAAACACTTTATAAACCTTGCTTGTATATGCAGCCAGAGCAGAATGGGAGAGGTTGAGAAATAAATGTTTTGTTTGTGTTTTTCTCCTTTATGAATCAGAAGATAAAGCACTTTCAGACCGAAAAAACAAAAACCACTCTTGGGGCAACACTATAGTAGAAGAAAACTTATTAACCTGTAGCAGGAATATTCCATGGTCAGCATAAGAATGCCTTTTAATATCAGTTTATAGATAGAAGCAAATTCCTCATCTGATTTAAATTTGTGTGGCTCAAATACTGTAATCAGTGAAGGCACCTGTCTAACTTCCTGAATTACAAAGATAGGCACATTATAATTTCTATTTGCAGAAGCTTAGAGATTAATATCCCTAGTCAACATTTTCTAAAGGTTAATAATTCTC